ATGCCAAGCTCATGTCTTGGCATGCATCAGCTGACCGCCTGAAAGATGATGGCAAGCTACGGCACCCATCCGATGGCAAGCAGTGGAAGGATTTTGACGAGGCCTACCCGGAGTTTGGCAAGGAGCCCAGGCATGTTAGGTTCACGCTGAGTACCGACGGGATGAACCCATTTGGTGAGCTTAGCAGCTCGCACAACACTTGGCCCGTCGTGCTCACCATGTACAACCTACCTCCCCATCTATGTCAGAAGCGTAGGTACCTTATGCTGACCATGCTTATCTCTGGACTGAAGCAGCCCGGCAATGATATAGATGTGTTCCTAGAGCCGTTCATGGAGGAAATGAAGATACTATTTGATGTTGGGGTCCAAATGGTGGATGCATCCCGCAAGGAGAAGTTCACACTAAAAGCAATCATCTTTGTCACCATCACCGATTACCCCGGTCTCTTCTCACTGTCGGGGCAGATCAAAGGAAAGACCGGCTGCGTAATTTGCATCGACGGGGCCTGCTACACTTACCTTAAGGGATCCAATAAGATGGTGTACATGAGGCACAGATGGTTCCTCGCCAAAAATCACAGGTATAGAAGAAGTATTATGAACAAATACTTTGACAATCAGGACAAGCCACAGCGTGATCAACCGACGTAGACTAGTTGGGGGACAAAGGTGTATGAGATTGTCAACCTACCAACCGAGGGACGACAAAGTTGAAAGTGCGCGGTCTCCAAACCCTAAACAGATGCCGGTGGTGCCTCGAGAATTGAATTTCGAGGAGGAACAAGTCAGGGACAAAGAACCCCCCGCTCCATCTCCAACCACTTCAGGCAAGTCTAGGGGTCAGAGGACAAAGCTAAGAAGGGGGGAACAAGGGAGGCACCGGAGGGAAACCCACGGCGAAGTCCATGTGATCCATGAGGTGGGACCAGAGGGAAACCCATTGTCACCACCCACGGTCCTTGCCAAGTTCAGCAACCAGGTGACATGTATAGTCAAGGACAAGGTGGAGATCACTTGGGAGGAGTGGAACAATGTCCTGTTGACTACAAGACACATATCTGGGGTGAGGTGACGAGGAGCTTCCATTATCCCAAGGACGCCGATCTGAACAAGTGCAGGGAGTGGGTCATGCACGTGGCAGGAAGAGCCTTTAGAAACTTCAAGTCCATTCTGACCAGGTACTACATGAAGCTAGGCAAGTCACCCTGTGTCAAATACACTATGGTGAAGGAACATCACTGGGAAGAGTTCTGCAAACAAAGAACAACAGAAGAAGCATAGGCAAAGAGCGCCAAGTTCAGTGCACTCGCGAAGAAGAACCTGCACCCCCACCACTTGGGCATGACTGGGTTTGCTGGTAAGAGGCCCCAGTGGCGGGAGGAAGAAAGGGCTAGAGATATCGCCGGGCTTCCCGATCCGTATGACGGTGTAGACTTGAGGGCTAAGGACTTCATCTATGCCCGCAAGCCGAAGAAGCTGAAGGAGGGCGCGAGCAAGTTCAATGAGCCCAAGTTCGAGGAGGTGGAGAGGGCTCTCATCGAGGCCGCTAAATCCAAGGACAGCTTCGAGGTTCGCAGGGGCCAGGACTTGCTGACCCTAGCGCTGGGAACCCTCGAGCACTGTGGCCGTGTCCGTGGCATGTCGTCGAAGATGAGCTGGAACTCAGTGGAGTCATGGCAATCTGACGCTGCCACATACCGGTCCAGGTAGAGGTACAAGGAGGGCATCTTTTAGAAGGGCTATGATCAAGGCGTGGCCAAAATGATCAGCCGGTCCATAAAAGAAGCCTTCACGAGCAATGACCCAGATATGGTGTTGATGAGGTCACAGATGCTTCGCTAGGCTGGCATGGCCGTGCCTCAAGTTCCACAAGGGTAGACACAAGGGCAGCCACTGCCGATGATCGAGGATCGCCCAAGGCACCCCGTCGACGACATCCGGGAACCCATGCGCGTCCACCTCACGATCCCGTTCGGCAGGGCAAAAAAGTTGACCGTGGGTGAGGGTTACATGCACCCCAAAGAAGGTATCAAAGATTTCAACCAAGACCAGATCCCTACCAACTATGCTGCCGTGATACTTACATGGTATGCGACCGAATACGAAGAATTTGAAATGGAATATCCAACTACAGAAGGGGTAACGATCCTTGGAGCTGCCATGGGTTCCAAAGTCCTGTGGAACAAGGATGACATAGAGATCATTCTCTCGACGTCGACTTCTACGCTAACGGCGACACCAGCATCACAACCATCCGTTGCCAGATCTTGTCCCCCCGATGATCCGGATCACGGCGACGGCGATGACGAAGGCAATGGCGGGGGTGACAAGGGAAGGAACTCACCCTGAGGCACAAGCCCTCACCCTCGTTCTCCTCCTCCAACAGCAAGTCCACCTCCACCTCCCGGCAGTCCATCTAAGGGCACGAGCAAAGGACCGGGAGGCACGGAGGAACTGGGGGCAAAGACACCGCCTGCTGCCATTGCGAGCACAAGCCACTGTCCTCCACCGCCGGCGAAGACTAAAGGCGACCAAGGGCACCTCACATACTCACTTGAGTTCGAAAGGTATGGTAGCGGCGAGCATAATTTGCTAATAACTTTTCTTTGGCATAATATGGTACTAACATTTCTATCCCAGGCCGAGATCACCTTTCCATCTATTTCCTGAATCGGATGACTGCCCCGGCCATTACGAGCATGGGAAGTTCATGATAACCAAGGCCCAGCTCGTCGATGAGGAAAGGTGGGAGATAAGAAGGTTTCATCTCTGGTACATGGAAGCGGCAAAAGCTGGCCTGCATGGTTTTCTAGTCAAGGTTGTGGCGGAGTACTTCCACTTGCTCGGCAACGATGTAGAACTCCCCGTGGACTTCCACGACATGTACAGACTACTACGGGAACAAGACCTTGACATCGCCCAAGTCACCTTGTTCTCTATGTAAGTGATGAATTGCGAGTTTCACATATCACCAGCCTTTGAATCGGTCAAGACTACTTATATATGCCATGATGGCTTGTCCTTGCAGGTTGATGGCCTATATATCCAAGGAACTAAAACTTGATGTTATCTATCTATCTCCAATGCATATTGCTCAAAGAATCATCATTGGTTACCACCTAGATGACAATCATCCAACGATGAAAGACTTGACCAAGTGACAGAGAGAGGCGCATAGGAAGAAACTGATGGACAATGAGAAGTTGAACATTTCAAGGTACATACTAGGAGCAATGAAGAAGATCAGGGGAAATGGGTGTATCCTAACTGCCTACCACTTTGGGTAAGTCAAAGACATGCTTGTAGAGATAAGTGGGTAGCTAGCTAGTATTATTATTTCTCGTCGTAACCTGTATTTTGTTTCAATGGTGCATCCAAGGCCTCGAGGGTCACTGGGTTGCATTTATCATCTACCCTCAGGATGGCAGGGCCTGCGTATTTGATTCGTTGACAGTGCCAAACTTAAAAGGGTACAAGGCTTTTGAAGATTGCCTCAGAGTGTAAGTAACTGAACTGTCTTCTCATATGCGTTCTAATGCCCTACCTAATACTAGTACATTTCGTATAGCGCTTATAAGTAGTACATGAAGGATCCTGAATGCTATGATCGAAGAACATAGTTTTTTAAGGCTAAGCATAAGAACCGCATCAAAATCAGACGCAACTTTTCGGTAAGTATTTGAAAGGTTTAATTGTGCTTTTCGTTCATAAGAACAGAGTTTTTTAAGGCTAAGCATAAGAACCGCATCAAAATCAGACGCAACTTTTCGGTAAGTATTTGAAAGGTTTAATTGTGCTTTCCGTTCATATGCGTTCTAATGCCTGTGTTGTAATGCTTGTGTATCGATCATGCAGTGTGCCAAACAACCGGTAGGATCACAAACCTATGGCTTCTACGCCTGTGAGTTCCTGAGGGCGTGCAAGCAGTACAATAACAGTTGGAGGGTGCTCAAGAATGGATTGAACTGGTCGAGAGACGTGCAGAGCACCCAACACTCCTTCAAGCAGACAAAGGCGGACATATGTAAGTTTGTCTTAGACAAATGCGTGCTTGAATGGGGCACGTTCTTCAATGAGAACAGCCCGCTAGCGATTTTCCCGGAGTACGAGAGGCTGAGGAAATGGCCCACGATGATGCGTCCGCAGGATTACACCTTAGCGCATGTATAACGACTTTAATATGTAAATGTAATGAATTAACGATGACAAGAACGACTAAGTGAATGTATATATATGTATATTATCTCATGTGTAATGCCTGCATACTTTTTAAGTTTAATCTGTGAAATCTGGATGTGATTTGAATTTATATGCCTGCTATATTTTTTTTAATTCAGGAAATAATTTACCGAGGCGGGCAAATAATAAAGCCCGCCACGGCTAATGAACATAACCGCGGAGGGCCACAAAAGGTGTCCGCCGCGGTAAATTGGTTACGATTTACCGTGGCCTCTAGGCCGCGGCGGACGGCTTTGCCCGCCGCGAGAAACCGAAAACGCCCGCCTCCAGTAAAGTTTGTGTAGTAGTGATCCTAATAGCAGCGAGGGGGCAGCGGGGCCTATGGTTGAGAATGAGTCCATATGGCTCAACATGCAAGGTTTCTTTTTGGCCTTTTGGAGCCGAAATAATCATTTGTCCATTGAGAAATCATTTCCGTCTCTCTGCTTATTTGGTTATCTCTTGCTGTAATGGCATCCTCATTAACGGCAAGAAACCACTTGTGCTAGGAGTGCCCTTAGTTCGTTGTTACATGCATCCATTGTTTTTACTAGTACAAATTAACATTAGGGTGCGAGTTGCATGGCGTCCACTTTCCCGCACCATTCCCTGTTCAGTTTTAGAAATTGATGAGTTCGCTCATTGTCTAGCTATGGCGCCCATAGCCCTTATGTTTGTATGCAGCAGGAACGAGTTAAATATAGCATCATGTGCATCTAGGCAACAAAAACAACCATTTTTATTGTTTTTCCATCAAACAGATGCTTGCGGTTACAATGCTTAATGTGGGCAGCAGCATTCCCATTTAGCATCCTGTCTCTCGATGTAGTAGCTGTGTTTGGTTTTGAAGCCATTTTTCTTGGACATCTGCACGCAGCCAGTCGGAGAGAGTTTGTTATTGTTATGGTAGCACGTCTCTGACTTTGCCTCTGCCTCCAACAAACTATGTGGAGGTGGTCGAGGTGGACGAGGCGGCATTGGCGGCTTAGGAGGCATAGGAGGCCTGGGGGCGGGCCGATAACCTCCTACCACGTGGGGCTGCTCTGCCTGCAACAAACTGTGTGGGGGTATCCATCCAGGTGGATGCGGCACTGGCGTAAAAGGAGGCCCAGGAGGACTGGGGGGATCAGGCACTGGCGTAAAAGGAGGCCCAGGAGGCTTTGGGGGATGAGGCACTGGCGTAAAAGGTGGCTCAGGAGGCCTGGCGGGACGAGGACCGTGTGCCACCTGAGGCTGGTCTTGGCCTACACATGCATCCAACATATTACAAAATAATCAAAACATGTTGATTGGTACTCCATCAGTTCCAAATTATAGCTCCATCAAGATTTGTTGAAAGTAAAATTTCTCTAGTTTTGACGAAGTTTAGAGAAAAAAATGCTTGAACATCTAAACCTTCAAATTACTTTTATTAAATTCTTCACGACATATGTTTGTATTGTGTGTTTTATTTGGACTTGTGCTAGTTTAGATTTTTTTCATAACAAACTTGGACGAAGTTATTAGAGTCGTTTGACTTATAACACGAAGCCAAAGCAAGCTATTATTTGAACCAAGGGAGTAATATATGACAATGCAAAGCATAAGTAATTATATCACTCTATATATACCTTGGCATGATGGAGTGGTTGAACAAATGATCATAAGTATCAGGAAAATAGCACTTGTCTGGTATACATTCCTCATTGTATAGCACTTGGTGACTCAGGCCAGAGGACAATACTACTCTTTTCCTTTTTTCCTCCTTATTTTCCTGTTTCACCTTGTTTAGGGATGAGTGGTGTGCCTTGTATCTGTATTTGTTTTCTGCGTTAGTGTGTAGGTGTTTATATAGGAGTACCCAAAAACATCGACTAAGATTTATTGTCAAAACTTATTTATTTCTACCTCTATCTATATCTATATATTTATTTTTATATCTACATCTATATCTACCTATCTATCTATCTATCTATCTATCTATCTATCTATCTAACTATCTAACTATCTATACCTACCTAACTATTTGTTATGACTATCTCTCTCTCTGTTGATGTGACTGTCTATCTATCTGTTTGTCCAAAAAAAAAATGAAATATCTATTTATATCTATATCTCTGCACTATCTCTATCCATCGGTACCAACCTAGCAACTTGTTTTGTACATGTATATATGCATTTATTTATTTATCATCTATCTGAATGGCACTAGCCTTCAATGCGCCAACGGAACTAGTCTATCTGATGTATTAAATTACAGTAAAACCCTCAAGAGTAATTTTGTTGCAATAACCAATAGCGCAAGCATAAATAAAACAATAAATTTACTGCCTTGCTCATCCACAGCAATAAATATGCTACTTTGTTCACCTACCACGTAGGACCTAATGTGGATCTCTAGAACGTATGAATTTTGGCTCTCGTAATTGTAAAACCAAGTAGACTTATCTAGGGCAACCATAAAGTATGTTATGATCGTGCTGGAGAAGTTGAAAATCAAGTATTTTCTTCTGCAGCCATATAACCTATTTAGCATTAATATATAGATAGTCCAACTATGTAGCTGTAAATTCAGAACTTGTCGCCAAATGGTGATGGAAGTTAAATGCCAAGTTCCGATATCTTATAGAATACAAGAGAATATATTGGTTTCCAATGAACACGGAATACTCTAGTTTCCAATGCGCAGTCATTGTCAGTGGCCCAGAGATGAAATTTTTTATAATTACCAATATAGAATAATGATGCCATGACCATATTAAAAACTGAGTTAAAAATGAATATCCAACAGCCCTATTTGGTCATGCTGCCTTAGTAGCTTGATCCTCGGCACATTGACCAACAATATATGCTGAGTTTGCAATATCCTGTTAGCTTCTATGCTTCACTATAATGGTCATATGCACATACGTGGTGGAAAAAATACTCTATCCACACCAAATTGTAAGTCGTTCGAGTTTTTTAGCTTTTTGGCTATATGTTTTAGCTATATCTTGATACGTAGTAAAAAACTATGTATCTAAAAAAGCCAAACAATTTATAATCTGGAATGGAGGAAGTATAATTAGAAAACAGTACAATGTAGTTATCTAAACATGCTGGACAAGAACATGTGATATTCTCTAGAAAAAATGGGACATACACTATAATATGTGTATTCAGAATTTTGGAATTTGATATTTTTAATTTTTTTGTGAAAATATTTTAGAGATGCCTGGGAAATACAGCCGCCATTGAAAATTTTCTACAGGTGGCTCATGTTCCTAGCTGTCTCAGAAAATCGACTGCTAGAGGCTGCTGGACAGACACCGCTAGAAATGATTGATTTCTAAAGACACATTGGAAGAGATGGATGAAACATCCACCTCTATATGTTCTTTCTAACAGTCATGAAAGATCATTTGTGTAGTAGTGCAGGCGCATGCAAACGTTGTGGTGTGCTCAAGGGCAAGTATGGGCTCATGAGGCAATGTGCGTTTACACCATATTTTGGAATGGTGCACGGGAACCTGAGATTCGGAGATACTACTTGAAGACCATGTCGCATGCGGGATTGGCCCTTGAGCAGTTGGAGTCGGCATCGGACATCAAAACACAATTAATACAATCTTTCCGGCTTTCAGCCATTGCATTAGGATTAGCAGTACGGTAGATCTGGGCGAGTTCTTTGGTGAGCAAGGCTGCATTGGTTTTCGATCTCCGGATTGTTTGTGAGTACCATCACGTCTCGTATCTTTTCTTGTAAGGCTGCATGGTTTGATCTCTTGCACGATTTGGTATACATTAGTTATCGATTCTATTAAGATTAGTTATCTCTTGCACGATTTGGTATAAGTTAGTTATCGTTGCATTTTATTGACATGTTTGATTGTGACTTTGGATTTGATTTTATTAGTTGATAGATCTGTTTATTAGAAAAATATGTCTTTGTTCATTAACTATGCTTGCATCGCCTATATAGCAGGTAGCCTGTGCCTTTATGCTTATAACATGTTTTCATGATTTTGTTGAGTTATAAATAGATCTATCAAGCTGTTAGTTTTAATTTGTTATCTTTACCAACACTGCATCAATCTAAACTGTTTATAGATTTGTTTGTATTAAATAGTTGATTGTTTACATGTTATACATAATTCTTTTACATAGGCTCATTAGCCGATGGTCTGCGTTTATCATGTTTCATCTAGTTTCTTGATCATCGGTTGTTTTATTCATACTGTTTGTACAAGCTAACAGCCGATGGTGTTTGTTCTCTTCGTTACATATTTAGTTACGCTGTATCGGCTCAACAGGCGATAGCCTACGCTATCACGTTTTATCCTATTTCTTTATCATCGGCGGTCAGATCTTCTCTGTTTATGGTTGTTAACAGAAGATGATACTTGTTTTCATTGTTTTATATCATTGACATGCTCGATATCGACTCTCTAGTCGATAGCCTTACTCAACGGCTCTTTAGCCACGTATTGGAACTGTATGGAGCAACACCGACATGTTCCGCCTTAAATTACTGATTATTTTTCTCTCCTTGTCTATTGCAGGGTTAAATTGACTGGCACAGCTACGAACTTGAAACCGACTTGTCCTGCTTTGATGTTAAGCAGATCTTCCACATCCCAATCAGACGGTGACTAGGATTTTTCATCGGCTATCGACAATCATTTAATTCGAAATCAGATATACAGAGAGTGGCCGATATCAGTCGAATTGGAATACACTTCACCAGTATTGATAATGAAATATTGATTATTCTTTGGAGTTGGATTTGGCAATGTTATGGTAGGGTATGATTAGTACACTCTTATGAAATCCCTGATGTCAAAAGAAAGAGGCCCACAGAGAAGAATCGTTAATTGGAATATATTGGTGCAATATTAATTATCATTGACTGCTGGGCGACAAAAAGGAAGTATCGGCTGTTTTGGCTGTTATTAATGGAGTTACCCGATTTGGTAATCATACTAAGGCTGCTGGAAGTGCTGGTAGAGCCGATTGCTTCAATATAATGGGCCGATTGTTAATCAATCTCATCAAGAATATATCAGAATGGCCAGCAGAATTCATTACCATTAGTTCCGCTAAACAGGTCATCTATGTGTCGCGGGGGTCATCGCCACAATCACGAGGCCCCCCAGGAGAGTGTCATCTGCACATCCTCTTCAGGATCTTTGTAATAGTCGAGTGACACAAAACACCCCAAATGGCAAACCAATAGATAACACACAACATAGTGCCAAAAGAACTTGAATTGATTAGTATATTTTACTAAAATTTTGGTATACAAATGGTAGGGAACAAGTGTACAAAGTTATATAGTTCACTCTCTACGGTTCAACTCTTCGGGAATTCACTTAAATCTTGTCGGAGTTAACTTGTAGCTCATCTTGGAATCACCCACTCCAAGGTCTACTATGCAGCGTTGAATAGATCATTGGCTCACATTGACCGAGATGACATTACCTGCGAAACAACTTAACAGCGGCACCATGAGTACATTTCGTACTTGCAGGACTTATTTCCAACGTATAGATATTTGGTGGATGTAAGGGTGTTATCAGGCATTTGTACATTTGCAGAAAAGCAATGGTGTTTCTTATAATGACATGCTCATGGTTCATAGGTAAGTTACTTAGTAATTAAAAGTTCAATACAGGAAGCAATAAATAGCATGGGGTGATCAACATTATAATTCGTATCATCATCAAGTTTGATCAACAACACTACCATGGGTATAGAAACTAGGAACAACCGAAGGGGTCCGTCCCGAGAGACTTCAGGATTTCAAAACTCTGCAGAGGTGTACAACTGTATCCACATGGAAGAACGAGACTAACCACCATACCCATGCGCGAGGGTAAGGGTTGTCTCACATCTCCATGCTTTCCCTAATTCGGCCCGAATGTCACATGAAAGGTTCGACTAGTTCCCGGTTAATGCTGCCACCATCTAACCGGTGCCACCTTCTTGCTAGTTTCACGGATAGACCTGTCACAATTAGTTACTTGGCTTGTCGTCCCCATATGCGACATTTGATTTATACGGGTGGTTACTCGGACTCACGTATCCCAATGCACGGTCCTTAACTACTCCACAAGCAATGTCACTTAAGATCCCAAACACACATTGACCTACCCCTCGCTTGAGCAAGAATTACCAAATTGATCATCAAATTCATAATTCAAATTAAGATGGGTCCTTAGTCAAAATTAGGGAAGTAGATAAGTTGTATCCCTCATTAATTTTAGTAGTTAATTATCCTGGTGTAGTATCCTACATGCGCAAACATTAGTTCCCTTCTCATACTCGACTTCTAACGTTACTAAGCAAGTAAGCAATTAAGTGTTCCCACCCCCGTTGATTAGATGAAAGGCTCTAAATGCTTAATGAGTAGTTCTAAATTAGTGAAGCATCAAGTTGTTAATCATATCCATAGGAATGCAAACCATAATGAGACAAGTAGTAAGTATCCAAAATAGTGTTCATAGTAGTGGGGTGCTGCCTGGTTATGCCATTCGAACGAATTTGAAGTTGACAACGATGACTCATACACGTTCCTCACACTACTCGATTTCCTAAAAGAGACAAAGATAGAGAATGAACAGAATCAATGAGGAGATAAAGATTGAGACATGATTGGGAACTTGGGAAGAGATACCTAACATGGCTCTACAATTGCATTATTTACAACTAAGCTCACTGTAGTATTA